TTAACAAATCACTCTTTATGTCATCATGGATATAAATCTAACAAAGTCTCAAAAACTTCTAATCGGTTGTGTTTACAGGCCGAATCAATATTCGGAAGTTACTGAACTAATTTCAGAGTTACAAAAATATCTCAATGATATTATTATCTGTGGCGATTTTAACAGTAATATTCTGTTGGAAAATACGTTATCCGATGAGTTTGGAATCTTCGACTTGTATCCTTTTTACATGACCACAAATCCTACTCATTATCATACTAGTTCGAATAGTCTAATCGACATCATTGTTTTCTTTATTAATAATCCGAAGCTACTAAGGTTGATCTTACCAAAAATTCTCCCCCTTAAAAAATATATATTTATATATAACACCATTCTTGTTACATCTACCTTCTCTGTAGCATGGAAACAAGCGAAAATTATTCCAATTCCCAAATCTAATCATGATTATCGTCCTATAGCTACATTGCCCATAATATCTAAAGTAATGGAAACATTAAAAGCAACTTGCTTACTGAACATCAGCAGTCTGGATTTAGAAAAAACAGAAGCTGTGTTACAGTTCTCTCAGACGTCACTGACAATCTGAGATGTAATCAAGACAGTATGAAAGATTCCTTCCTCGTTCTTCTAGATCACAGCAAGGCATTTGACACTGAAAAACACAACATTCTGTTACAGAAACTTCAAAAGTTGTTTAACTTCTCTGCCTCAGTCTCATACTTCTCTTTCGATCAGTCTCTTCGGATCAGTTTTGGGCCCTCTGTTCATAAAAATATGAACATGAAACTGGTATTAGTTTAAGATTTTTGGACATTGGTACTTGTCATAAATAATACTTAAGTGTTAGACATAATATGTAAACTCACATAAATTCTATCTGTGTGGGCATGTATGCGCATAAGGGATGATGAAGACGCATAGCTAATAAAGGATATCTCCAAACACATGCGCGCAGCGGGTGAGAAAATAGGGATCACTACAATGTGGTTTTATGAGTGGGTGAGCTGAAGAATTAATAGCAGCCAACACACAAAGGTATTGGTGCCCTCATTTGGTAATGTAAACAAATGAGCACAGTTATCTATAGGAACAATGTTATCTCTTATGTGTATTAGGCTAAGTTATATTAGGTTAGGTAGTTCTTAAGAAATAACATTAAATAATAAAATCAGAATTGAAATGACATGCGACCTTACAAGTCCTCTGTAGTTTCCCTTCTCCCGCTTCTTTACAGTTGGTCCTTCGAGCCGGATTCAAATATTTCGATATATTTGATCCGTCAAGAGAAACAAAAAAGATCCAGCGGTAAAAAAGAAAATGTTTAAATTTTTCAAATAAAATTATTATTTAAAGACCCATGCGGCAAATTAAAAAAGACCCAAGAGGCAAAATAGAGACCCAAGAGGCAAAATAAAGACCCAAGTGGCAAAATTAAGACCCAAGATGCAAAATTAATAAAGACCCCAGCGGCAAATTAAAGACCCCAGTGGCAAATTAAAGACCCCAGCGGCAAATTTAAAGACCCCAGTGGCAAATTAAAGACCCCATCGGCAAATTTAAAGACCCAAGAGGCAAAATAAAGACCCAAGAGGCAAAATTAAAAGATCCCAGTGGAAAATTAAAAGATCCCAGCGGCAAAATAAAGACCCAAGAGGCAAAATTAAAGACCCTAGCGGCAAAAATAATAAAAATGATGGAAGACTTTAAACTGGAAGAGTTGGAGCTCGAACAGCCTGGGAAATTATGGGGTCCACAATTTAGGATCCTCCAAAAACAAATGCAAGCCATGCAGGAACAAATACTGCAAGTTCAAAAATTTCAGGAGAAAATGCTAAAGGAACATTACGAAATTAATGCTTCTTCGTGTGATTATTCCATGTCACAGTTCAAAGAGGACGAACCGGCCTTTGTGGCCAAAGAAGAGGCAAGCTATAATGAGGAGGAAGATTCTCAAGAAATGGAGCAAGGTGAATCCCCGGAACAAGCAGCACGTAAATCCAAACAACACCACCACCAACATCATCAAGAAAACAACGACGAGCATGAAGAAGATGACGGAGAAGAAATACCGCTAGTGAAGTGTAAAATCAAAGCCGAAGAAGATGAAATGAGCCCATCAGAATATCCCGGTTCCAGTGATAGTCGCATTTGTGCCGATGCCCGAGAGATTTATGCCGAATATGATGTTTCCCCCGATCAGGTGAATATATATTCTATAATTACAGGTCCTGGAAAGTTGCAAACCGAACAAATGCCGCCCGGAGACGACATAGTAGGGGGCGGAGTAGTTCCACCACAAAAGGTAGTCAAAAGTCGAATAGTAGCAGGGTTTACAACCCGAAAACAATCAAATATACCACAATCAACTATTGGACTTGGTCCTCCAAAAAGGGATTGGGATTAATACTTGGCAACAAGCATCACATTCACCGCCGGGTATCTACGACAACACAAGCAGCAGCGATCTAGCACCATTAAGACGACTCCTGAAGCAAATTGGTAGATGGAAGAAAGTGAAGATGAAGACTGCCTGCCGATACCTGCAGATTAACCGCGACTGATGGACCAGCTGTAGGAGGCACCTGATCATGGAAATATCCAGCAATACAGTCCACTTTAAACAAAGCAGCTCTTCAATTTTATATTTAAAGTAATATTTCACGTAGAATATTATAACATGTACAACAATTAATTTTTAAGAAAATTGTAACAAATACACCCTCTATTATTTTGCATATACAGTATTTTTCGGTTAATTGAACCTACGGTTAATTGGTTTCCACGCTTAATTGAACCACATGATGGGGCAAAAAATATTTCATAGGAAAATACATTTAAATTTTCTCGAATAATTAAAGCCTGTTAATTGATTTTCCCGCTTAATTGGTTCTAAATTCATGTCATCAAAAATAAATTTCCTTTTACTTTTCCCCGGTTAATTGCATAATAACAATTGAAAAATAATCTGTCATTTTTTTACATACATATATGACATAATTTGTGAAAAAACTAGGTGGCATCTCTACTAATTCAAAACATATGTTTATTGCTAAGGCAAAACTGCGAGAAATCATAATTTGTATTTTACTTTGGATTTTTTTTAAATCATTAGTAGTTCCTATTATACGTAATTACTGTAATTGAACAAACTGTTCAATTAAGCGGGTTCGGATAATTGGTTCCTCGGTTAATTGAACAAAAATTTGTGCAAATTTTGATGTGCAATTAACCGAAAAATACTGTATATATATATATATATATATATATATCAACGATCTACCGGAGTCACTGACACATTGCAAATTGCATATATATGCTGATGATGTTCAATTATATGTAGGATCGCACCCAAGCAATTTACAATTTACTATAAATATAATTAATGATGATTTGAGAAACCTATCTAACTGGGCTGAATACAATAGACTAACACTTAATCCCCTTTAAGTCAAAATGCATTCACATTGGTAAAAATAAACAACAACCTCAAATAGATTACTTAAAAATTAATGATTCTACAATTGAATACGTTAGCTTCGCTTCTAACCTAGGCGTGGTATTTAATGAAAAACTATCATGGTCGAATCACATTAATATGACAGCTGGAAAAGTGCATGGATTGCTACGCAACCTGTGGGCAGTTCAAACCTATACCTCCATGGAAATACGCATGTTATTTGCAAAGTCATACCTTTTTTTACAATTGTGATAATGCTGACCAAAGCAAGCTTAAAGTTACGCTTAATAATAAATTTGCAGGATATATATATTTAGTAAAAAACGTTGTGATAGAATTTCTGAGCTTGCCTATAAGATCTTCAACATGACATTTGAAAACTACCTTAAATTTAAACTTTGAGAATTAGACTTATTTAAAATCTCTGACGATTCCATCTATTTCCAGGTTTTCCAGATTTCTGTTAGTTTGTGGCATACGTTGTTGAGAGAGTGCATCTATTTCATTCCGGAATCTGGCCCAATCCGTATTTTTATTCGATATAAATATCCTAGGGGCTACGATATTAAATTCAGTACAATCCATATGCAGAGACAATGACAATGGGCTAGTGATCTGAAAATTACGGTAATATTTGTAACGTATAATTTTGTCGATTTCCGCTTATAAGATGTGAATTTATACGAAAATGGTCCCGGTATGAAGAACCGTTTGGATAAGATGGTGATGTGGCGGCGTGTGGAGTTACCTCCAGCGAATTATCATCCAACCAGTTTGAAACAACGTTTCCATTGGAATTATCATAAGAGTCTCCCCAGGTGGTATTTTTGAAATTGAGGTCTCTACCATAAGGATAAAGACATCAAAATGTTGACAGAGTTAAAGAACTTTATCCAAATCACTTCTAATTTGTTGTGAAGAATAATTGCATGGAATGTATATTGATGCCAGAAGCCACTTCTTGGTAATGCCACTTGATGTCGAATCTATCTGGATAAAATATGTACTGATACCAATACCATCTAGAGTGATTCTGTTATATGGCATAGAATTTTTTATTGCCACTGTTACTCCAACAGATGAATTTTTTGATACAATATTGTAACCAGATGTTTTAATTCTTTTGTTTCTTCGAAGGTGGATTTCCTGAACAAATTTTTAACTCGAAAGCAAATCAGAAAAAAAATCAAACTTCGAAGTAATGAAAAATTTCCATGAGAAAAAATTTGACGACCACCAAAGGGTTTTCAGCGCACATAACATCAACAAATAGACAGACCTTTTATACTACTTACTAAAATTTACTTTTATTAACGGCACTCAACTTAAAGGCTTTATACGATAGGTCTTTGCAAGATAAGAGGTATACCCCTCTATATAACCTCTTTTATTAAAACGAATTGTTACATACATATATAAATATATAAAGTCGTAATGAAATCTATAAATGCCAATGCATTTGTAAATACAATAATAATGAATCACATCCGCATCGCTTTTGTACATATGTGCATACATGTTTGTATGTAGCTGAACTGAACTACAAACGTTCCTGTATGGACTTTTCCAAAACGTCCATGCATAACTCATGATCGATTTCTCGCAATCTTTTCCAACTCTCCGTTGCCGAGACGGCTTTAATTTCTTCTATTGCAAATTGAACAGCCTTTGATTTAATGCGTTCACTGGCACGGCGATCGCCCAGTAGAAGAATATCAGCCAAAGTGTCCGTAGTCATTGTATCGATTAACATATCTTCACACATTTCTTGCAAACCCAACAGGGCGTATTTATTGGCTGCCACAAGTAGATCTGCTGCCATTTCTTGGGGTATTTTCTGGTCCGTGTACATGTAATTCAGCAATTCCTTGAGTACTTTCGAATCCATATCGTCGATGGTAATACTGCCGGTTTTTTGCTTCTCCTGCAGGTCATTGCGAAACATGGCTGCAAAAACTTCACTGCGAATGCATAATACAAGTTTGTGGGCCTTGAATTCAACTCGATCTTGGGCGACCAGGGTCACATCGCTGAATTCTTTGCTAGCCAAGATATTGGCAAAATCCTTTGAGATGTCTGTTACGGTTTGATTTTTACGTTCGCATTCGATTTGCGATCGATCAGATTCACATTGTACTTCAAGGTGTACTCGAAAGTTCTGGGAGTTCCCATTGAAATGCCTAAAACTTGGAACACTATTTAAAGGATGGTTTTGATTCGTTGATATCCTCCTAGTAGCTTGATAGCCATTACTAGTTATGGTAACATAGAAAATCGTGTCTTGGATATTGCATGAAAGCAACACTGCAAATATTTCCATAATTAAAACACGATTTTTAAACTTTAATTCCCACACGGATTTGACGTGACCATTTTGTACCACAATTTCAGGAGAAGTGCCTTTATTAATCCCTAGGATATCCCAATGATATTTATTATTTTCAACTTTACTAATTGTCCAAACAATATCCATTTCCACTAGATTTCAGCTGACTGCTTCACTTAGCCGGGATGTTCCAAAAATTGTATCAAGAAGTAATCACGGACGGATATTTATTTTGCCAATCTGTTCACAGAGTCCACTGCCGTTTGATTATTGCCTCTCACGGCATTTTCTGGTCTGATTCGATGATGCCACACAAACACACACTGTCGGCGTCAAAGTAGAATTTAAATGTAATTAACGGTTGTCATTAAACAAATCGAAATTTTATTTTTTTTAACATCGTTAGTTTTATAACTTAAAGTTAAAATACAGGAAAAGCATAAATTTAATTCAACTTTGCTATATAAACTTAAAAATATTGAAATTAGTTCAAATATATGCGGTCAAAATAATAGTAGTGTTATTGATTTAATGGATATTAATAACTAAAACAAATAATAGGTCGGCTATTTCATTTCAAAAGTTAGGCATTTAAGTCAGTATTTAGTGGCAAACCCTTTATTCGCCATTACAGCGGCACAGCGTCGAGGCATGGAGTTCACCAAATTTTGGCACCTTTCAACAGGAATTGACTCCCATGCATCCTTAACAACATCCCACAATGAGCTGTTGCTTGTAGGTTTTCTTTGCGCAACCACGGCCCTTACATCACACCATAAATTCTCAATGAGATTGATATCGGGAGACTGTGCTGGCCATTGCTTTACCCTTATGTTGTTTTCCGCAAACCACTGTATTGCAAGAAGGCTGGTGTGCTTTGGATCATTGTCCTGTTGGAAAGTCCAAATCAAAGGCATTTCATCCTTAGCATATGGAAGCATTACTTCCTGTAATATTTTTAACGTACAGGTGGCGATCCATGATATCTTTTATCTAGTATATTGGTCCAACTCCGTAGAAAGAAAAACATATGCATATCATTACACTGGATCCTCCATGTTTTACAGTTTTTAACGTACATTTTGGATTATATTCAGAATTAAGAGGCTGTCTTACGTAAGCTCGTGAGCCTTTCCCGCCATATAGGACAATTTTTGACTTATCGGTCCACAAAATATTCCTCAATTTTTCAGTGGGCCAATCCAGATGCTCCTTAGCAAATTTTAGTCGCTTACCTACATGCATTTTCTTCAACAACTGCACTTTTCGTGGGCTTCGCGCCGCCAAATTTGCATATCGAAGACGTCTGTAAATAGTTTCAACGCTAGCTTCCACAACATGTTTGTCTTCTGGGAGGGCTGGGAGGAGACAAAAGACCTCAAGGTGATCGGTCGCAAATTGGTCGCCCTGCCCAAGGAGAATAGACAACGGGAACGTATTGTGATTATAACTCAGGACCATTTGCCGGTGCTGCTCTTTAAGGATGGCAAAATTCACGAATACAAAGTGCCGCAGTTGTCGCGCGAACAAATGGTCGACACCAATGGTGGCTTCTTGGCCCAGTATGTGCAAGAGAAGCCGTTCGATGTGTGTATACGTTGCGGTATATGGTCGGCGGGAGAGATTATTAAACGTAGCGGTTGTACGTTTGAGGGTAAGCCGACATTTGCCGAGGAATAATAGAGTGAGAATAGTGTGGACGAGGAAGGAGGAGGGATGCTGGGAAATTCCATCTTCAATGTACCGTTATTTTATTTGTGGAATAAAAACAAAGGATAAAAAAAGAATTTAAAATACCACATTCTATATTATTTTATGACGATGGGACAGATGTAGAGCCGTTGGGGCCGGATTTTCATGAAATCGGACAAAATTTTATATGGGAGGTATGTGAAAATGTGAAGCGATTTTAATCAAATTTGGTAATCGGTATTCTAGACTATATTCAGTCAATTGTGCAAAATTTCTTGACTATCGGAGAGATTTAGAGCAGTTTGGTCCACCAATTTCATGAAATCCGACGAAATTTTATATGGCAGGTGTATGGAAATGTTAAGCGATTTTCAACAAATTTGACATACGGTATTCTATACTGCATTCAATAGCCTGTGCAACATTTCATGGCCATCGGACAGATGTAACGCCTTTGGTCCATAATTTTCATAAAATCCGCCGAAAATTTATATGACAGGTATAGAGAAATGTGAAGCGATTTTAAACAATTTTAACACACGATATTGTAGACGGTATTCAATAGCTTGTGTAAAATTTCGTGTTCATAGGACATATGCAACGCCTTTGGTCCATGATTTTCATCAAATCCGACAAAGTTTTCTATGGGAGGTATATGAAAATGTGAAGCGATTTTAAACAAATTTGGCATACACTAAGTATTTGGTGTATTTGTTTTCACAATACGTTCAGCTATAACATTGCACATCTTTAGTATATAGGTACTTATGATATTCCCACCAGTAACTGAGAAGAGAATATTATAAGGAAACACATATACTGCTCTCATTTTCACTTTATCTACTCATACTCTCTCTCTCTCTCTCCCTCTCTGCTAAAACGAATAACACTAACAACTTATAACACAAACTCGAATGCATTCAACTGTATGCATTCGTTTCTGTTAACGGACAGAAACTCGTATGTTAAGATGGAATGGTGCACGTCTTTATTGCATACATATAGGAATATAAGATGTAATGAAATCTATAAACCAATACATTTGTAATTCAAATAATAATGAATCACATCCGCCACGGCTTCTGTACATACATGTTTGTATGTTGCTGAACTGAACTACCAACGTTCCTGTATGGCCTTTTCCAATACGTCCATACATAGCTCAAGTTCAATTTCTCGCAATCTTTTCCAGCATTCCGTCATTGTGACACTTTTAATGTTTTTTATTGCAAATTGAACAGCCTTTGATTTAAGGCGTTCACTGGAATGACGATCACCCAGAAGAAGAATATCAGCCACAGTGTCTACACTCATTGCTTCGATTAAGAAATCTTCACACATTTTTTGCAAATCCAATAGGGCATATTTATTGGCCGCCACAAATAAATTTGCTGCCATTTCTTTGGGTATTTCCTCCTCCGTGTAGATGTAATTCAGCAATTCCTTGAGAACATTCGAATCCATATCGTTGATGGTAATACTGCCGGTTTGCTTGCGAAGCATGGCTGCAAAAACTTCACTGCGAGCGCATAAAACAACCTTGTGGGCCTGGAATTGAGTTTTATCTTCAGTGACCAGGGTCACATCACTGAATTCTTTGCTAGCGAAGATATTTGCAAAATACTTTAAGACGCCTGTTAGGCGTTTCTTTTTTGATTTGCATTTAATTTGAATTTTGGGTTTGCATTTGGTTCGCTTTTCAGGTTCGCATTTAATTTGCTTTTTAGGTTCGCATTGGGTTTGCTTTTCTGGTTCGCATTTAATTTGCTTTTTAAGTTCGAATTTAGTTTCCTTTTCCGTTTCACATTTTATATCAAGAAGTATCTGGAGCTTCGCGCATTCAAAATAATCCCGACCAAAATTGATACAAGGTATATTGGTATTTATTTGGTTCGTTGATATCATCTTAACAACGTTCCCTTCTTTGGCAGTTACTGTAACTCGAAAAGTGATGTCTTTGATATTGCAGTAAATCAACTTTACATATATACAATCAGAACATAATAGTTTCCATACGGATTTGACGTCGCCATTATGTACCACAATTTCCGGAGAACTGCCTACCAAAATTAAATACAAATTAATATCCCAACAATATTTATTATTTCCCAAGTCAGTGATAATCCCAACAGCATCCATTTTCAATGGATTTCAGCAGACACGTTTGGCGGGGATGTACAAAAAACTGTTGTAGCAACAACGACAACAAGAAAATGATAAAAAGTACGTTTGATTTTTGACGGCAATAACTGATCTTACTCGATTGTTCGCGTACACACAAATTGTCGGTGTCAGAATAGAATTTCATGGCCGTTTGATTTTTGATTTTGACGGCAACAGCTGATATTACACGATGTTCGCGCACAAACAAACCGTCGGCGTCAAGATAGAAATTCATTGTATGAGCAATCGATAAAATAACAACAACAAATAACCGTTTTAGATTTAAATCTAAGTTGAAAATAAATTAAAAGAATTAAAAATATGACTGGTATTAATGGGGGAAACACATAAGAGGACTTTTAAGCTTGGCGTCTTTTATTGTAAATAAAAAAAAGGAAAACGTCGCCCAAATTCAATTTTGACTCTGATATTCTTCTTTCAGAAATGAGAATCCCCCTTTAGAAATTACAAAAAACTAAACGTACGCTTTTATGTAGTATTAGCATAGGCCCGCTACGTCGTTAGCGGAACTTTTTTATAGTTAAAACCAGTAAGGAAAGTAGTAAAGTCGGATTGGGCCGACTTTATGATACCCTTCACCACTTTGAGTATCCTTACAATTGCATGTCTTTCTGCAACCTATGGTAAATTTAATTTCATTCGCGAAGATTTATAGTCTTCTGCGTAACATGGGAAAAATTATGGAAAACGATTTATAGCAAAATTGATACACGCTATTCGGTACGCCGCACTGTTAAAGATTCAGACACCCGTTCGAAATACATATGGTAGCTATATCAAAATCTGAACCGATTTTCACGAAATTTAACACACATCTTTATAGACTTAATTTAGTAACCTACGCCAAATTTCGTGCAAATCGAAAGATATATAGGTACTATGGTGCACCATTTACCTTAAATCGGGTGAAAATATACATGGGAGCTATATCTAAATCTCAACCGATTTTCCTGAAACTCACCACTCATCATTCTAGACTCAATTCAGTACGCTATGCCAAATTTCGTGCAAATCGAGTTGTATATATCGGCTTCGGTGCCGTGTGTTAAGTTTCTTGAAAATCGGTTCAGATTTAGATATAGCTCCCATATATATTTTCGTCCGATTTAATGTAAATGGTGTACCAAAGTTTCAATATATCTTTCGATTTGCACGAAATTTGGCACAGCGTAATAAATTAGGTCTATAATGATGTGTATTCAGTTTCCTGAAAATCGGTCAAGTTTAGATATAGCTCCCATATATATCTTCCTCCGATTTAATGTAAATGGTTCACCAAAGTCAATATATATCTTTCGGTTTGCAAGAAATTTGCCATAGGTTAGGTTAGGGATGCACGGTTGTTTTGACAATCGTTCACTTGGAGACTATGTCCACTGTGATCATCCTTGTGTGTATATACCTGTAAAGAGACGAAAAGAGATAGTGGAAGAGTATGGAGAAAAGATAACGAAAGAAGAGGGAGAAGAGAAGTTATTTTAGCCAAGTCAAATTTTTGACAAAGCCTAGAATTTTGTTGGGGTCTATTTTGGAGAAGAAGACTAGATTATCAATTTCATGACTTCCAAACTGTTTATGTCTTCGGCTTATCAGCGATGGACATTTACAGAGGATGTGCTCAACTATTTCCAGTTCCTCTGCGTCCTCACATAGACGACAGTAATCCTCTCCACTGGAGTCCCACTTAGAGGTACAGGTAAGGTTCCTGGATGAGCGCCACATCTATATTTGCGGAAGAGAGGGTGAGTAGCAGTTCAGCAGCTGCTGTTCTACAGTGATGCAGATTGATCTGTACCACGTTAAGCGCTGGCTGCTGCCTGCTTATTGTTTTGGAGATGGGAGGCGGAAACAAATTTTCCCCATTCCATAAACAAGCTCACCCTTGTTCTTCCTCAAATACTTTTCTCCCGCAGAGTCCGTAGCGAACTGCGTGACCATACCGCCGTTCCTTTCAAAAGAGGCGAGAACTCTCCATCTCCTCATCTGAAGGCCGTCGTTCTGCTTTTCCAATAACCTCAGTGTCTTCTCCAGCCCCTTGAAAGGTTTTGGGATAAACACCGAGGTTACCATGCCGCTTGGTATATCTCGGACCGCAACGAAGAGGTCCTTTAGATGACTGTCAACCAGCACCCATCTATCCTCACTGATAAACCCGTCAGGGTCAGATCGGTCGATGACTGCCACTCGCAGATCTTCCGGATCAGCAGGGTCGCATTGTGCCTGCTCTTGGCAGGTTTCTCCTTCGACGCTACCACCGACGCAAACGAAGCAGAGCTCTGGACGGCCGACGACTGCGTGGGCCTCTTTGCAGCAGGTTGTTGCTCCTCCGAGGACCTCATTCTCTTGACAGCAGTGGGCTGTGGCCGAGATTTGGCACCCGGGGTAGCAACCACTGCAGAGGTATGTACAGCAGACGTAGGCACCTGCTTCGTTCCCTACTTTTCGTTTATCCACTATCGGCTATCGGCTTTGGCAATTCGGCAGAAGGTGGATTTACGGATAGGGGTTGTGTCTTATCAGTCTTCTTGGAGGTCCTTTTACGGGCTCTCCTCCGGGCTGACTTCGACAGTCCCCTGCCTTCCGTCTTACTGGATGCTGATGTCTGGGACGTCTCTGTTCTCAGTTTACCCTTTGGGGGTGCTGAGGGCTTAGACGTCTCAGGAATCAGTATCCTGGATGTACCAGGGCCATCAGCAGGTTTCTACTTCTTTGAAGGATTTACCGCTGTGGTCTTAGTACTGGGTAGGGGGATCTTATCAATCAAGAAGTCCCTCTCAATGTCATCAGGGTAGTTTCTGGAGAACTTCCTAATGAGTTTAACGTTCCTCTTGATTAACAGGAACTCCTTCCCCGTGATTGAGTCGCTGTCCCGTCCGATGTATCGTTTACAGTAGTTTACTGCTCTCCGATACATTTTTTATGGCAGCGATCTTCTTGGCATCGGCCTGTCTAGCAGATACTGTTTCGACAGCCAACTGCCTGAGTAGTCTCGCGACATCACTACAGGCCGTGGAGATCGAGTCTAGATCCTCGACCTCGCCAGGGTTAACTTCCCCAGTCAGCAGCTTGGGGGATCCTCCTTGCTTCAGAGGAGACACCATGGTTGTTACTGTGTTTATCACCGTAGTTCTAATCACAGTGGTTTCCATGATGACATCCTCGTCCGACAAGGGCGAGTCATCCCAGAGCTGATTTGGGATGCTCTCCTGACTGAGTCGGAAGGAGCCTATTTCCTCTAGAAGGTTGAGGAGAAGATCCGACTGCCTCTCCAGGCTTGCATTAACATCGTCGAGAGTAGGACAATTGGCTAAAGAGAGGTCCAGGGACGTGGACGTCGTCAACACTTGAGGCGGTTCATTGATATCTGACCTTGTAAAGTTCGAGACTGAGGGTGCCAAGGCAGCCACACCAATATCAGTCGAAAAATCGCATAAGTTGTTTTGTTTTTGGTTTGGGGGGGTTATTAAAAGATGGCTCCATAAAAAGTGCTGTGAGGGTTTGAGGTCGACCATGACATAGCCTCTTACCATGGTAAGGACTTGGCAACTAAGCCTGAAAAACTTGTTGAGGCGCCCAGGTATCAACAAGGCTCCGTTCTAATACAGTCGGTACCCTGACTGCAAACCGTGGAACGCTGATAGGCACGAGGTCGCATGACACCCCAGCGTTAGGGGAGACACTTTATGAAGGTAGTGTCCCAGACCTATGAGATGGATATAAAAAGGGGCGCAATTCTCGCCTCGTCGGCTCAGGGATCATAGGTACTCGGTCATTTCCTCCGAGACTCTCCCCCTGAGCCCGCTGATTGTCCGCGAATGTTTATTTGTTATTCACAGTTAACCTGTGGACGCGTCCGTTAGCATTCAGCTCTGCTCCCCGAAGGCGGAACTAATTTTCAAAAAATTTGGCATAGTGTAATGAATGATGTCTAGAATGATGTGTGTTAAGTTTCGTGAAAATCGGTTCCGATTTAGATATTGTTCCTATATATAATTTCTGAGCGTTGCGTGTTACGAAATGCTCATTGAGTTTATCCTCTATTAGTTTAAGGTTGAAGACGGGAAATATCGGTCCACTGGTTTCTACTCTTATCCGTCCTATCGTACAGAATATTTAATATCTATTAGTAATTTTAAAAAAAATTTAGTACCATTTAATAAATATCAAGATTCGTCTGGGCCTTGATGATCAGTCAGTCACTTATAACGCAATTATATAGACTATTTTACATAGAAGCCACATACACGAATTCAAAACTCTGTCACTTCTAAACGCTCAATACCCATGTACAATATTAAGTAGTTTCCTACCTTTTAAACCCCATTTAATATAAAATTTTATCAATGCACTATTTTTTTTTGCATACAAAAGTTCCCCTATTTTAGTACAAATATTTAGTATCGATTGTTTGTAGTACAATATTTATAACTTTTTAGAACTAATTTTCAAAAAATATGTTTCCCCATCTTTCTAACAGTTTAAGTACATGTTTCACATATATATTTCTACTTCTTCCATTGTAACAAAATTCCATACTTCTACTTAAAACGTTCCGGAGTAATACAGGTTTTAGTACCACTTTAGTACTAATTTCCAAAAAATATTTTTGCACCTCATTCTATTGGCTTGAGCTCCACACCAAGTTTCAGATATGAATCTTTACCGATTCCATTCAAATGTAATGTTTAGTACTTTTTAGTACCTCCTAGTACTAACTCCTACTCCTACATTTCAGTTCTACTCCTAACCATTCCCGCGTAATACAGTATTTAGTACTGTTTAGTACCTTTTAGTACGAATTTCAAAAAATCCCGCTTTTTATCACACGCCTACGCACCAAACCCCACCTACATGCCAAATTTCAAGTTTCTAGCTTTAGCCGTTTCGTCTGGGCGTTGATGATCAGTCAGTCACTTATAACGCAACTCTATTATATATATAGACTAGCATATACCCGCTACTTCGTTAGCGAATGTGGGATGTAAAGAGTGATTTGTTGAGTTTGTTAGCAACGCTGAACAAAATTTGTCGATAAACACATTTCGAACCGAACCGAAATACTAATGCATGAAAATCCTAACCTCAAAAAAATCACCCTTTATTTAAAACCACCGTATATTGACCATTATTAAAATGTTAGAACCATTTAGTACCATAGTATGTTATCAAATATGTATCTCAAATGTATTGAAATCATGAATTAGATAAAATCTTAATTATAATCCAAATAGTATCAAATTTAGTACACTGTAGTACGAATTTCCAAAACATCCTACTTAACCCAAACATACACTCCACAGTGATCCTAAATCCAAGTTTCAGGATTCCAACTTAATCGGTTGACCCACAATTCAAATTGTACCAAATTTAGTACACAGTAGTACCACTTTCCAAAACTTACTACATACCTCAATCCTACATCCCCACAGTGATCCTAAATACAAGTTTTAGGATTCCAACTCCATAGGTTCACCCACAATTCAAATTGTACCAAATTTAGTACACAATAGATCGAATTTTCAAAACCTCCTTCTTACCCCAAACCTACACCCCTACAGTGATACTAAATCCAAAATTCAGGATTCCAACTCTATCGCTTCACCCATAGTTTAAATTGTACCAAGTTTAGTACACAGTAGTACGATTTTCCAAAACCTCCTTCTTAGCCCAAACCAACACCCCCACAGTGTTCCTAAATCCAAGTTTCAGGATTCCAACTCTATCGGTTCACCCACAATTCAAATTGTACCAAGTTTAGTACACATTAATAATTTCCAAATATTCCTACATACTCCAATCCTACACCTCCACAATGATCCTGAATCAAAATTTCAGTATTCAAACTTTATCGCTTCACCCACAATTTAAATTGTACCTAATTTAGTACACATTAGTACACATTTCTAAAACTTCCTCCATATTTCAATCTTACACCTCAACAGTGATCCTGACTGCAAATTTCATGATTCTAGCTCTATTGGTTCACCTAAAATTCTAATTGTACCAAATTTAGTACCATTTAGTACCCATAAGTATTATTTTCTTAAACTGAATCCTTACCCTAATCCTACATCCCTACAATGATCCTAACTCCAAACTTCATTGTTCCAGCTCTATCGGTTCACCCAAATCCAATTATAGTACGATTTAGTAATTTATGTACACATAAGTAAAAATTTCCAAAACTACGTACATATCCCAATCCTACACTCCGACGGTAACATTAATTTCAATTTGCAGGATTCCAGCTCGATTTGTACCTCCAAATCAAATTTGTACCAAATATAGTACTTTTCGTACACATAAGTACACGCTTCCCAAAACCCTCCTCATATCGCCCTACTTCTCAACGCTAATTTACATTCCAAATGTCAAGTTTTTTGCTCACTCCATTCACATACGACGAAATTGTACCAAATTTAGAACATTTTCGTACTTTTCGGATAGTTATAGTTAGTTTCCAAAAAACCGTTTAATACATCTATCCTACACTCAATCAACGACCACCAACCCAAATTTCAGAGTTCTAGCTCCACCGGTTCGCCAAATACAAATGGTATCGCATTTAGTACTTTTTAGTACTTTTTGTACCGTTCTAGTACGTATTCCCAAAAACCCAGCCTTATCTGTCCCATTTGGACCAAGAGTGACCCTCACCCAAAATTTCAAGATTCTAGCTTCAGCCGTTTCGTCTGGGCGTTGATGAATCGTTAAATCAGTCAATCACGTTACTCTTTTATTAGTATAGATTAAATTTGTACCAAATATAGTACTTTTCGTACACATGGGTACACGCTTTCAAAACCATCTCCTTAAATAGACTCTACATCTCAACGATAATTCACATTCCACATTTCAAGCTTTTGGCTCTATCCATTCACATGCTACGAATTTGTACCAAATTAAGTACATTTTAGTACTTTTCGGATAGTTATAGTTCGAATTTCCAAAAACCTATCCTACACTCCATCAGCGACCACCATCCAAAATTTCAGAGTTCTAGCTCCACCGGTTCGCCAAAAACAAATGGTATCACATTTAGTACTTTTCGTACCGTTCTAGTACGAATTTCCAAAAACCCAGCCTTATCTGTCACCTTTGGACCAAGACTGACCCTCACCCAAAATTTCAAGATTCTAGCTTCAGCCGTTTCGTCTGGCGTTGATGAATCGTTAAATCAGTCAGTCAATCACTGTACTCTTTTATTAGTATAGATTATCATTTGAAGTAAATTTAAGGTACCTTTCCTAACCCTACTGTCAATGAAAGAGAGAAAAAAAACTCCCATGACCATGATTCGTAATGTAAAGTAAGGCTTGGTTTCCTTTTCTGTTGTCGCTACAATTTTGTTTGGATTAATTTTAAACTACAACGGTTTTTATTGTTGTGTGTGTGTGTGCGAGCAACGAGTGAGATCATCTGTTGCCGTCAAAGGCAAAAATCAAACGGCAATGGACTCTGATAACAGATCGACAAACAAGTAATCGTCTTTGTTTCTTATTTTGTTTTGTTGTCGCTACAATTTTTAATTTTTGTTGAGATATCCCTCCCATCCAGTGTGTGTCTAAGTCTGCTGAAATCTTTTGATAATGGCTACTGTTGGAAATATCACTAACTTAGGAGATAACAAATATTGTTGGAAGTTCTATTGGGAAAGTGATATTTGTAGTTTTTCTCCGAATATTGTGGTAAATAATGGAGACTTCAAATCCACATGGAAACTAGTTTTTAATGGAATTACAGATGTAAAGTTGATGTCATGCAATTCCCCCGACACGATTTTTCAAGTTACAGTAACTAACGAAGCAAAATGTACTAAAGAGATATCAACGACACAAATAAATACCAATATCCTTTTTGTTCAAGGATTCACACGATGGGTATATAACACCCCCGTCGCGGTATATCTTCAAATACATGAAATTCAACACTCAACAACCATCTCCAAGGATTTGGCTAATATCTTGGCTAGCAAAGAATTCAGCGATCTAACACTTGTCTCTCAAGATAAAATTGAATTCAATGTCCACAAAGTTTTATTATGCGCCCGCAGTGAAGTTTTTGCGGCCATGTTTCGCAATGACCTCGAAGAGAAGAAAACCGGTATTATTCAAATTGAAGATATGGACTCGAAAGTTCTCAAGGAATTGCTAAATTATATCTACACGGACAAGAAAATACCCAATGAAATGGCAGCAGATCTATTTGTGGCTGGCAATAAATACGCCATGTCGGGTTTGCAGAAAATGTGTGAAAACATGCTAATCGAAACAATGAGTGTAGACACTGTGTCTGATATTCTTCTTCTGGGCGATCGTCATTCCAGTGATCGCCTTAAATCTACGGCTTTGATATTTGCAATGAAAAACATTAAAAGTGTCTCGATGACGGAAGGCTGGAACAGATTGCGTGCGACTGATAATGATTTATGTACGGACGTCTTGGAAAAGGCCGTGCAGGAAATGTGGTAGTTCACCTTACCTATATACACGTACATATGTATGTACGTATGTACAAAGGGTGGCGGATGTGATTCATTATTATTTTATTTACAAATGTATTGCTTTGTCTTGATTTAGATTAGGCGAGTTTACTTCGCATTTAAATAAATATAAAATGTCAAAAAATACGAAATACACTAAACGAATTGCCAGAAAATTGTCGGTACGAGCAATTTTTTCCATTTCTATTCCCCTTGCCCCTCTCCTACAAACAAAGACTTGCCGCAAGTAAACTCGCCTAATCTAAATTATTTATTTTTTTATAACGGCTTATATTTGTATATTTGTATGTAGCAAATCATTTTAATAAAAGAGGTGATAGGGGTATATATAAAACCTTTCATATAAAGCCTTTAAGTTGAGTGCCGTTAATAAAAGTAAATTGTTGTAAGTTGTAGTATAAAAGGTCTATACATTTGTTGAGGTTATGTGCGCCGGAAACCCTTTGGTGTTGTCGTCTAATTTTTTCTCATGCTAATTTTTCATTATTTCGAAGTTAATTTTTTTTCTGATTTGCTGGTTCACAGTTTAATTGATGAATTTAAAATATTGATGCACACGATGAGAGGATGACAATTTGTAAATGTATTTGTGATAGACATCTGCATGAATGCACAAAAAAAAAACACCACTAATGAGTCACTCATATCAACGAAATGGCTTCTATTCTATAAATTTGTTTGAAATGAAGAGCAATGAGTGAGTGTACAACAAACATGGATTGCTTCAAGTATTGTACCCGTTTGATTCATACAACCCACGATTCACACACGACGAACACGGTATTCATTGTGTATGTTGACTTCGGTATGAATGTATGTTGTAACACACAAAGTTTGAACAACTACGACGAGTTTGTCTACGAACATGTTTTATACAATGACGTGTGTAAAGCGTATTCGAGTTCTACAATAGTATTCGAATTACCAGAAAATATATTATGGTTTTTCTACACTCCACAATAGCACAATAGTATGAAAGGCATATTATAACATTTGTTACTCGTCAAAATCGGCTAATTTATTCAATTAAAACAATCATTAAAATTAAATGCAAAATTCGTAATAATTTATGGATAAAATAATTGTCTCATTGTAAAATTTTAGTTATTTTTACCGTTATAAGTACTATGTTTTGATTTCTGCAACTGTTTTGATTTTTATAGATCATTTTTAAATGGATTTTAGTATAATAACATGTGTCTGGTTGATGAGATGACTCCTGATCTCATCACAAATGTGTCGGAAGAAACTAGAGAAAAAAGAAACGCACGGTGTTGACGCGGATGACTCCTGATCTCATCACAAATGTGTCGGGAGAAATTAGAGAAAAAAGAAACGCACGGTGTTGACGGTTCCGTTGTTCGAGTTGAACTCATTTTATTTCTAATATTTTCTTAACGCTAAAACCTCCTGCAGGTCATTGCGAAACATGGCTGCAAAAACTTCACTGCGAGCGCATAATACAACTTTGTGGACCTGGAATTCAGTTTTATCTTCAGTGACTGAATTCTTTGCTAGCGAAGATATTGGCAAAATCCTTTGAGATGCCAGTTAGCGGTTGCTTTTTTGTTTGGCATTTGGTTTCCTTTTTTTTCATATTTTATATGAAGAAATATCCGGTGCTGTATGCAATAACGATAATTACGATCAAAATTGATACAAGGTGTTTGGAAATTTCTTTGGTTCGTTGATATCATCTTAACAGCGTTCTCTTTTCCTTCAGTTACTGTAACTTGAAAAGTGATGTCGTAGATATTGCAGTAAATCAAATTTACACATACCAAAGTATTATTAAAAATTAGTTTCCATACGGATTTGACGTCGCCATCATACACCAAAATTTCCGGAGAACTGTTTTTAAAAAGTGAATTAACATTAAAATCCCAACGATATTTGTTATTTCCCAAGTCAGTGATTATCCCAAAAGTATCCATTTTCAATGGATTTCAGCAGACACGTTTGGCGGGAATGTCCCAAAAACTGTTGTAGCAACAACGACAACAAGAAAATGATAAAAAGGACGTTTGACTTTGACGGCAACAACTGATCTTACTCGATTGTTCGCGTACACACAAATTGTCGGCGTCAAAATAGAATTTCATGGCCGTTTGATTTTTGACTTTGACGGCAACAGCTGATGTTGCACGATGTTCGCGCACAAACAAACCATCGGCGTCAAGATAGAAATTCATTGTATGAGCAATCGATAAAAAAAAAAAACAACAAATAACCGTTTTAGATTAAAATCTAAGTTTAAAATAAATTTAAAGAATTAAAAATAAGATTGCTATTAATGGGGGAAAAACATAAGAAGACTTTTAAGCTTGGCGTCTTTTATTGTAAATGAATAAAGGAGAACGGCGCCCAAATTCAAGTTTGACTTTGATATTCCTTCAGGTATAAATTCCCCTAAAAAAAAACTAAACGTACGTTTTTATGTAGCATTACCATCGACGATATGGATTCGAACGGGCTCAAGGAATTGCTACACAGTAAAAAGTTTTGGTTTAATTTTATTGCCGAGCCGGTGTTTCTATATAATAAATTCAAGAAAAGTAATAAATCTATTCCATTATGGAATACTTTTAAAGAGATTGAAAGAGAGAGAATGTGAGAGAGGGAGTTGTTTATTATTATTTTTTTAGAGCATTAAAATAACACCAATATGTATTAGGCTTAAACCTTTTTTTGGTGTTAAAATAATACCAAATTATTTATATTTAATACCTGAATAGGAATTAATTCCAAATGCCCTGTGGAATAAGTTATACACCGAACTAAGTGTTATTTTTATTCTTAATAAGAATTTGATTAATACTATTCGGAATGTTTTATATTATATAAACTATTGAGAAATGGAAGATTTATATTCTCCAATCGCTATTATAGTTGGCTGTTGAGATCTACTTTCGTATTCTTCAATCGGTGTGTGTAGCTACAATAAAAAGATAACCAATTAGGATAATAATAACGATGTTTTTCTTCAAATTACCTGTTCAAAATTTATAAAACTGTCCACTGATTTATGGATCCTAGCTCTTTTTGTTTCTCGTCCAGCAGCAGCAGCAGCAGTCGACGGAAACAACTTACAAAAAATATAAAAATGTTAAGTCGTCAATAGACCATTCAGATAAAGCTTCCAAGCTTTGTCCTCCGGCCCCTTTTGCTATTTCAATAACAACTAGTTTATATTTCTCCCAATTATGAAATAGTTCTTTTGATTTTTATTCGCCATAGCCAAGCTTAAAATCGAACAAAATCTGTGGGGATGAAGTTAGTGAATTAAATAGGAGCTTTTTGTAAGTTGTAAAAAGTATATTACCAATGAAGAATCGTCCTGCAACACATTTACCTCTGCTGTACAATATTTTATGCGTGCTTTTAATGTTTCTTGCAGCTTTTTTTTCAACAGCCATTAGATCATCAACTAAACAATTTTGGAAAAAGTCAAGGTCTTCTTGACATCAAACGGCTGTGTGCTGGCGCAATGAAATTCTATTTTGGCGCCGACTGTTTGTTTGTGCGCGAACAACGAATAGGATCAGCTGTTGCCGTCAAAAGCAAACATCAAACGTCTATGCGCTATTTTACATTATATATTTTCTCGATAATTATAATTTATTATCAGTTGAAGTAAAATTTAAGGTACCTTTCCTAACCCTACTGTCAATGAAAGAGAGAAAAAAAACCTCCCATGACCATGATTCGTAATGTAAAGTAAGGCTTGGTTTCCTTTTCTGTTGTCGCTACAATTTTGTTTGGATTAATTTTAAACTGCAACGGTTTTTATTGTTGTTGTGATCGTTAGCGGTTACTTTTAAATTCTACATTAACGCCGACTGTGTGTGTGTGTGTGCGAGCAACGAGTGAGATCATCTGTTGCCGTCAAAGGCAAAAATCAAACGGCAATGGACTCTGTGAACAGATCGACAAACAAGTAATCGTCTTTGTTTCCTATTTTTTTTTTGCTGTCGCTACAATTTTTAATTTTTGTTGAGATATCCCTCCCATCCAGTGTGTGTCTAAGTCTGCTGTAATCTATTAGAAATGAGCATTGTTGGGAATATCACTGACTTAGGAAGTAACAAATATTGTTGGAAGTGCAATACGCCCAATTATTTTATGTGTGATTCTCCGGATATTGAGGTAAATTATGGAGGCGTCAAATCCATATGGAAACTATTTTTTAATGGAAATACAGATGTAAAGTTGAAGTCATGCAATTCCCCCGACACGATTTTTCAAGTTACAGTAACGAAAGGATCCGAAAAATGTACAAAAGAGATATCAACGAAACAAATAAATAGCGCTATCCCTTTTCTTCAAGGAAGCAGAAGTCAGGGATATGACACCCCCGTCGCGGTATATCTTCAAATACATGAAATTCAAAACTCAACAACCATCTCCAAGGATTTGGCTAATATCTTGGCTAGCAAAGAATTCAGCGATCTAACACTTGTCTCTCAAGATAAAATTGAATTCAATGCCCACAAAATTTTATTATGCGCCCGCAGTGAAGTTTTTGCGGCCATGTTTCGCAATGACCTCGAAGAGAAGAAAACCGGTATTATTCAAATTGAAGATATGAACTCGAAACTTCTCAAGGAATTGCTAAATTATATCTACACGGACAAGAAAATACCCAAGGAAATGGCAGCAGATCTATTTGTGGCTGGCAATAAATACGCCATGTCGGGTTTGCAAGAAATGTGTGAAAACGTGCTAATCGAAACAATGAGTGTAGACACTGCGGCTGATATTCTTCTTCTGGGAGATCGTCATTCCAGTGGTCGCCTTAAATCAATGGCTGTTCAATTTGCAATAAAAAACATTAAAAGTGTCTCGATGACGAAAAGCTGGAAAAGATTGCGTGCGAATAATCATGATTTATGTACGGACATCTTGGAAAAGGTCGTGAAGGAACGATTGTAGTTCAGTTCATCTATATACACGTACATATGTATGTACGTATGTACAAAGGGTGGCGGATGTGATTCATTATTATTTTATTCACAAATGTATTGCTTTGTCTTGATTTAGATTAGGCGAGTTTACTTGCGGCAATTCTTATCGTTCTCTTTTGAACTTGCTTCATGCGTCTATACAAGGCAATTCGGTTTCAATTTTTTTTTTATTTCAAATAGTTTTTTCGCATTTAAATAAATATAAAATGTCAAAAAATACGAAATACACTAAACGAATTGCCAGAAAATTGTCGGTACGAGCAATTTTTTCCATTATTATTCCCCTTGCCCCTCTCTCCTACAAACAAAGACTTGCCGCAAGTAAACTCGCCTAATCTAAATTATTTATTTTTTTATAACGTCTTATATTTGTATATGTATGTAGCAAATCATTTTAATAAAAGAGGTGATAGCGGTATATATAAAACCTTTCGTATAAATCCTTTAAGTGGAGTGCCGTTAATAAAAGTAAATTGTAGTAAGTTGTAGTATTTGTTGAGGTTATGTGCGCCGGAAACCCTTTGGTGTTGTCGTCTAATTTTTTCTCATGCTAATTTTTCATTATTTCGAAGTTAATTTTTTTCTGATTTGCTGGTTCACAGTTTAATTGATGAATTTAAAACATTGATGCACACGATGAGAGGATGACAATTTGTAAATGTATTTGTGATAGACATCTGCATGAATGCACAAAGAAACCCCACCCATGAGTCACTCATATAAATGAATTGGCTTCTATTCTATATATATTTTTTTTTTTTGAAATGAAGAGCAATGAGTGAGTGTACAACAAACATGGATTGCTTCAAGTATTGTACCCGTTTGATTCATACAACCCACGATTCAGACACGACGAACACGGTATTCATTGTGTATGTTGACTTCGGTATGAATGTATGTTGTAACACACAAAGTTTGTAGAACTATGACGAGTTTGTCTACGAACATGTTTTATACAATGACGTGTGTAAAGCGCATTCGAGTTCTACAATAGTATTCGAATTACCCGAATATATATTATGGTTTTTCTACACTCCACAATAGTATGAAGGGCATATTATAACGTTTGTTACTCGTCAAAATCGGCTAATTTATTCAATTAAAACAATCTTTAAAATTTAATTCAAATTTCGTAATAATTTATGGATAAGATAATTGTCTCATTGTAAAATTTTAGTTATTTTTACCGTTATAATTACTATGTTTTGATTTCTGCACCGATTCGATTTTATAGGTCGCATTGTGTGCGACGATATCATTTTCTTTCTACCTACGCACTGCTTATCTACACCAACAGAACGTGGGCGGGCTTACATGCCCGGAGACTATCAAGAAAGTTCTTTTGTTTTTGAAAAGAATCGGAAAACCTGATTGCCTTTCGCAAATGCGCTCATATTAATTGGAATCCAAATCAGTGGAGAAATATTAGCTCTCGGATGAATTAAAGTTTAATGTAAAACAAAAATGAATGGTTTATGCCAAAGTATAGCAAGGGTACTAGGTAGCATGGAGGAGGATCAATAATGGTATTGTGTTTTTTTTTCGTTTCGGATTTTTCGTGGATCGGATTGTGTTTATACAAATGCGTTGGAAAACGCTATAGTTCCCTCCGATGTTTTCAGCTTGACAATAACCTCCGAACATACACTAAAACGTGTCAAACATTGGTTGCGGAAGTCAAAAATCAGAGTTTTATAAAGGCCAACACAGTTATCAGATCTTCTCCCTATAGAAACATCTTTGGAGCATAATGCATATCAAAATCAAAAAGGAATCACTAACAAAACATAACCTCTTCCCAAAGGTTCAGGCTACCCAAATTATAAATGAAAATTTCCGAATTTTGAAGAGCTTGTTTGGCAACACTTTTATTAACACTTTCTTCAAGAATTTGTGTAAAAAACATCTTATGATTCTATTTGTTTTTGGGAAAATGTTTTTGACATATCAAAGGTCGCCGATGCGGATACTTCATATATATCTACCTTGCCCTATTCATTCAGAATAAGGCGATAATGTGAAAGCGAAAAATTTTTTACATGCGAGATATCTCCCAGCGAATATCCAGAATAAGGCTGTTATTTTCGAATCTTCAAAATGAAATTGAAAAATAGGAATGAAAAATGCGATTTATTCCATGAAGAAAGATTTGCTTCCTCAAACTTTCCCATTTTTATTATTTTCAAGTTTAGTGTCTGTCTAAGCCGTAGTTGTCCCATATCCAATAGATTACTGCCGATTGCATTTGGCGGGGAAGTCCCAAAAATTGTATCAACAAGAAACCAAAGGCGGATATTTATTTTGTCAATCGGTTCACAGAGTCCATTGCCGTTTGATTTTTGCCTTTGATGGCAACAGCTGATCTTACTCGTTGCTCACGCACACACACAGACGGCGTTAATGTAGAATTCAAAAGTACCCGCTAACGATCACAACAACAACAAAAACCGTTGCAGTTTAAAATTAATCCAAACAAAATTGTAGCGACAACAGAAAACGAAACAAAGCCTAACTTTACATTACGAATCATGGTCATGGGAGGTTTTATTTTTTCTCTCTTTCATTGGTAAATTGACAGTAGGGTTAGAAAAGGTACCTTAAATTTTACTTCAAATGATAATAAATCATAATCATTCGATTTTCGCGCACACACAAACTGTCGGCGTCAAAAGATCAGCTATTGCCGTCAAAGGCAATAATCAAACGGCAATGGACTCTGTGAACAGATCGATAATTTTTATTTTTGTTTTAATATCCCTCCCATCCAGTGTGTGTCTAAGTCTGCTGTAATCTATTAGAAATGGGGGGCGCTATCGGGAATATTACTGACTTAGGAAGTAACAAATATTGTTGGAAGTTCATTTCGAAAAGTAATTGTGATTGCTATTCTCCGAGTATTGTGGTAAATAATGGAAGCGTCAAATCCACATGGTATCTGTTTTTTAATGGAAATATATGTGTAAGTTAGCACATCCCTGCCAAACTAACAGGCAACAATGTTGCCTTTGTGAGCTTTGCTTGGTTGACTGTTGTGTGCTTAGCATGGAGTCGTGTTACGTCTGGTGGCGTGACCATGGAAAGTGTAGTGTCAGCGTATTGTCAGCAATTTTGATTTGTTTAGTTTAAGTAGAATAAGTTTTTGATTTGAATAAAGAAGTTAGTTCATTCTAACTCACCAAAAGGCACACAAGTCTTTTTATTAACTGGCGCCCAACCGGGTTTATTTAAAGGATTTACTTTGAAAAAAGTAATCTCTGACCCAGCCCAAACACAAAAACAAGAACAAAAACTACCCAAGTCGTCCAACTCGCACAAAAGGAATAAGGTCTACACAAAAACCAGAACGAAAACTACCCAACGGAGGATCTATTTTGTATGAAGTCGTCCAACTAACGCAAAAGGGATAAGCTCTACACTCTAGAAAAAGACGCCCCAAGAAGCTCTAAGGATCCACCAACATATTATAATATAAAACAAAGTCATGTAAGTGTATTACTCATTGAATTAAAAAAAAAATTTTGTCGAAAAAATTGTGTGTCCAAAAACAGGTGAAAATATCAAGAGATTTTTTTTACATCGTATAGTGCGTATTTAAAATATTTCAATTTCTGTGAAGTGATTAAGATTGTGTTATACCAACTTTTCTATAAAAAAAAGATATTATGAACGCGGACGAAATTTCAAAATTGATAGAATCCGCTGTACGTGCAGCGATTCAGACACATAAATCAGAAGTCGACAAAAAAGTCGACGATCTATCAAGAAAATTGTCGTCCATTTCCATAGGACAAACAGATGTAAAACCGTATGAGGAAGAAAAAATTTTTTCAACAATAACATGCGATGAGTCGCTAGACGTTATTAAATCTTTGCCCGAATTTGACGGGAAAATAGAAAATTATGTGTCGTGGAGACAAGCGGCACATAACGCGTATAAAGTTTTTGAAAGATATGATGGTAGCTCAAGGCACTACCAAGCAGTTTGTATCATTAGAAATAAAATCAGAGGACCGGCAGATGCAGTATTAGCATCATTCAATACGGTGTTAAATTTTAAAGCTATAATAAATAGGTTGGACTTTACGTACTCAGATAAACAACCAATTCACCTGATCGAACAGGAACTAAGTACCCTCAGACAAGGCGGACAGTCAGTGATACAATTTTATGATGAAGTGGAGAGAAAGCTCTCATTGTTAACAAATAAAACTATTATGAGCTATGACAGAAATTTAGCTTTAGCCATCAATAACAAATACCGACAAGACGCACTCAGAGTATTTGTTTCCGGATTAAGGAAACCTCTCTGTGATGTACTCTTCGCGGCCCGCGCCGCTGATCTTCCCTCAGCTCTAGCCTTAGCGCAAGAAGTGGAGGCGAATCATGAAAGATACGTTTTTGCTACATCATTTGCAAATAGGAATGATGAAAAAAAGAGTAGGTCTGAAACCTCAAAAAAAACTTCCATTAAGAAAACCGTCTGATAATAGTTATAACAATAACCAACAAAATTATCATAAACACAAAAACCCACATTACGAAAAGGGTGCTGATGCTAATTTACAGCCTAGAGATCAAACCGAAGAAATGGACTTGGATCCAACGTCTTCCAAATTCAGATCACCGACTAATTATGGTAACGGTAGAAATTCTCACAGACAACCTTTTAAGCGTCAAGCAGGGTCTGACCGGAGTACGGGCCCAAAATTTCAAAAAGTTAATCAAATAATTCCGGAAGAGCAGGCGGTACAATATGGTGACATAGCTCACTCTGAATTTGAAGACATAAATGACGAATTAAAGGAAGATTGTGATTATGTTAATTTTTTAGAGGAAGGTCCCTACTACCGTTTGTAAGGCGGACAGTAGCGGGGAAACCAATACGCCTTTTAATTGACACAGGGGCTTCGAAAAATTATATAAAACCTCTCCATGAATTGAAACATATAATTCCTGTAAGTACTCCTT